AGAGCATCTCTTGGACCTGTGACCACTGAAGCTATGTGGTATTTCACTGCATGAAGAAGTCCTGTACAGAACACTTAAATAATGTAGCACAAGAGACATTTTATCCTCCTTCTCCAGTGAAATAATTCGCTTTGACAAAGTCTTTTCTAGGTCATCGTTTCTAAATATCAGTATGAGCAGTGAAGGAAGTAAACAAACCCAAGATTTTCTCATGTTCCTTTGTCACTAATAGTCAAATACTAAAGAATAAACATTTATTTTGCCCACTAATATTTAAAGTGCGTTCACTTCCTGCACATCTGTCTTGAATTCAGGGCAGAAGATATGTCTGTTGTTCGAAGTTGTACTTCTGTTAGCAGAGTAAGCTCTGCTGCAAATACAACTTTCAGTAAAATAATCTCAAATCTAGATTAAAAGGTTGGGCTTTACCAACTGTTAGGTAAATCTGCCTTGCCTTTTCATAACTATTTTCCCTATTACATTCTTTTATATAATCTCCTTTCCTAGCATCACTGACCAACAATGAGTTGAGGGTTGTAATAAAAAGAGCCTTGGTCTTCCATAGGTGGGGGTTTTGTTGTTGTTTTGTTGGAGGGTTTTTTTGGTGATTTTTTTTTTTTTTTTTTTTTTTTTTTTAATATGGGAGTGGGACATGTAGCTCCATCAAATTCTGTAGATCACCAGTGTCTCAGGGAAGGGGAAACAATTACTTTTAAAATGAAGATATAAGAAAGGTAGTCCAAAATTTAGAGGCAGTAATCTCCAAACTATTTCCTACAGAGCCAGGGCAACCACAAGATGCTATGCAAAAAACCTTACAGAAATATAGTTACAGTGCTGCAGCCATGCCAGAGGTAATACAGTGCCTGAAATTGTGAATCCCATTAAGAGAAACTTACTGAACTGGAAAAGATTACAGATAACTTCAAAAGACAGAGAATTGCATACATCATTATTGACAGACTTCTGCTTTCAACGTCTACAAGGCATGCTCAGACTAAGATGATTTTAGTGAACAAAAGATTAATTTCCATTTTGTAAATAAATACTAGCTATAAATCTGACCATGTATTAAATGTAATCTATATCTGCATGAAATATAAAATTGCTTTTCTTCCGTCTGACATCTTCAATTTAATTTTGTCCTTCTATTTTTCCACGCATACAGAAAACTTTTTGTCTACTCTTACTACACTTGTTAACAACTATAAAAGCTTGAAAAGAGGAGGATACATTGTATCTCTGTAAGCAAGAGGGATGGGGGAAGACACTGACAGTGATGTTCTCTGCAACAGAGTTACAATTTCAAACAGTTGTTACATTTCATGTGATGACAGTCTAGCTCATTAAAGAGACATCTTATTTAAGAGCCGTAGTCCCTGAATGCACACACAGGCTTAATATGTAATTATATATGAATGTACAGGGTGTTCATTGTAGATTACTATATGCGGTTAACTGCAATCTTGTTGGCTCCTTAATTTAATCACGTGTTGCATCTTGAAATGTTAAGGAAAAAAAAACAAACAAAAAACAAACCAACAAATTACTAGCACTAAAACTGAAGTCTTTTCTCTAGGAAGAAAATCTGAGCTATAAAGGAAAAATATGCAAGAAATTCTTGTTTGGCATTTCTCAAGCTTTGGCTCTATAATGCAGCCAAATACAGCTATATTTCCAGTGGGAACATAATAGTGGATAAAGGATATTTGCGGTATAGAGAAAATAAAAAAGCAAGCAAAATGCCTGGATAAAGTGCTTTGCATGGTTGATAGATGATTGCAAAAAAAAAAAAAAAAAAAAACAGGCATCAGTAAAACCTTGTGTGAAACCAGAGAAACCAGGAGAGGAGTCATTTTGTGTACTAATAACACAGAGAAATGGCATGGCAACTAAAGAGACAAACTTTTCTTACAGTTCTAGCCCAGACTGCAAAAAATAGTTGTGAGTTCTGCTAGCCAGTCAAATCTACTAAAAAGACCCCATGACAACAACAAAAACCAACCAAAAATCAACGTACCCTACTTTAAAGCATTGCTAGAAAGACATGCTTAGAGTTCAGTACAAATGTGCTCTGATTATTACCACTACTCCTTCCACACTGTAAAAGCATTTGAAAAGCAGACAGGGTTTGTCTTACTAAACCTATTTCAAAGTTGGGAGCAGACAAATGCAATTCTACAAGCAGACACCTAACAAGGATAACATCATCATCAAAGAAAGCTATCTAGCATATATTACAACATTCCGAGATCTTCCATTAAATGCCATCTGATCATTCAAAAAATCTGTAGACATGGCATTTCAGGACATGGTTTAGTGGGCATGGTGGTGTTGGGTTGACAGTTGGACTTGATGATCTTAGAGGTCTTTTCCAACCTTAATGATTCTATGATCATGCACACGGAAAAGTAGCTAGTTGTTCAAGATCAGTTCACAAAATATCACAAACAATCCAAATTTTCAACTTTCCAAAACAATCTTTCATCAAGGATTGTTTCTGGCAGACAAAATTTCACCATTTTTTTGTATCTTCTAAAGCAAAAAGAAAAACCCAATCAAACAGAAAACTTTTTACAAGACATTGAATAAAACATTTGCCCAGGTTTCAAGTTATTTTAAGCTCTTCAGTTAAACACAGCGTGAATAAAAACTTGAAATCCTAAATTTATTAGGTGAATTAATACTCAACACAATTGTTTTTCCTTCTGTTCCTGTTACACTTTGTAATTTGTCTAAACCATTAGAAAAATAAAACACAATAGCATGCAAACCATGCAAACTATTGCAAGAAACTAAATACCACACTGTATTGAAAGATTGTCTCTCTTTCTGCATGCTTTTCTATGTCCAGTTTAAAAAAAAAAAAAGAAAAATAAAAAAGAAAAAAGAAATTACAACTATTCTGCAGCTTGCATGAACACTCCATCCCACATATATGCTTTATATGTGATATAGGGAATATTTACAAGAAAGACTATAAAGAAAGCTGCCTAGCACCACGAATTGTCAGTGGGGGAGAAAAAAGTTTCCCTTGACTGCTTTTCAAATTTATGAAAAAACATTACTTGTGTTGTACTGAGTGAGATATGGGTAAATGTACATCTGAAACATGGCAAAAACTCAAGACCACCACTGAAACCCTGGTGCCAGAGGACAAAGAACACTGATCATATTTTTTGGCTGTAGTTATTGTCATACATCTTAAATCCTAATGTATAAAGATTTAAATATATATATTTTGCTAATGCAGGCAGTCTTTAACAATATTTTAATTTTTATAGTACCTTCTTGTTAGTATATTCAAAGTGCAGCAGATAAACCAGTAAATTATAAAACTAAAAAAATATGTAAACCCTTTACTTTGAGAAAGTAAAATTAGAGCATACATAAAGTTGAAGCTAAATACTCAGGCTTGTGATTTTATAATTTCTCCATGGGCTCTATGGTTTAATCACTCAGAGAACTCTACATGGAGTGACTGATACCAGAAATACTTCTTGGTGAGATCTGTCCTGTATTTTCCTTGCCCTTAACATGCAAATTTATTTCCTGCTCCTCACCACTTTTCATCTACGTTTATTTTGTATTCTTAAAAACCCCAGTCTTAACACCAGGATCTTCCAACTGTTTCCACAAATTCTTCCATCAGACAAAAGTTCTCGTGTTTGTTCAATCAATTCTGCACAGCAAGGGAATGAGAACACTACTAAATTCCCCTTTGCAAAGACATTTGGGTTTAGAAAACAGCTATTGAAAGAGGAATATACAAAATCTGCACACAGCTCTTAGATGATCATGTGTGCTTAATATTGTAATAGGATAAAGGTTAAGCACAATATTGTTTGACCCCTTCAACTACTGACATTCATGCCATGTTATTGTTAGTGTTGCATGTTAAGCAAGCAAATTTTCAATGAACTTGTGTTGGCTTTACCACAGACACAGATGTTAGGCGGACTCCTTTGTTCATAAGGTTCTCATTATTAACTGAAACCAAGTTGAATATTTGACTGAAGGAAAGGACCATATCATTGTTTTCAGATTTTGCTCTATGACTTAACTGAACTACATCTGCCAGCTTTGGAAATACCAAGTACTTCTTGGCGCCAGCACTGGCGCCTTGCTCTATGACTACCATCTTAAGTGCTTCAGCTTGAGGAAGTCTAGTAACCATCAAAACAGTTTAATAAAAACTCTAAACTGTGATTAAGAGTTACTCACTAGCTGACAGAGTTGCTCTGAAATTTGTTCTATTTATGAATAATTTCACAAAATAAGCAAATCATAGTAAACTGAATGCATGTCTGTTAATATGTAGCTTAGAAAGTTCACAAGATGTTTTTGTGATTTATGAAGCCTGTGTTATACTTGAAACCACATTTATTTAATAGATAGGTTGGCACTTCACAGGGTAATTTGATCTGCTTCAAATCTAACCAAAGCCTGTGGAAAACATAAGGATGCTCTGAATATAAATGCAATTCCTCTTTTCAACTTTGTGCACTACTGTCTCTTACCATAAATATGAAAAGTATTACACTCCCTTAAAATATCTCCCTTTATAAAACATAATGTTGAAGATGAAAGAACACCACAGTTTGTGCTAACACAAATATAGGAAGTATTTTATATAGCAAATTGATTAAATGTTATAATTCACTTTTCTGGATATGTCCTGAAGCTGAGTTAAAATAACACATCGCGCTTTCTTCCTCAGAAAGACCAAAATCAAAATATCTATATTTTATACCACTTCGATATCTGATGCCAAAAACTATCGATGGCAATTCTGCAAATAAACAGTTCTGCTATTTGCTATAGAGGACAAGGGAATATGTTACAAGAAAGGGGAAAATACAAGGTATTTTTCATAGAAATAGAGTGTAAAAAAGGCTCTTATTAATTTATTTTACATATCAGAAGACAGAAATAATTAGCATTTCCAGATTATTCATTATGTGATCTGAGCTAGAATTAACAACAGTTATTTCACTTACCATGCTGAATGTCCTTCATGTCTAAATGAAGGCTAGACATTAATATTCCAACAGCTTGAGACCTTTTGTTACTTAACAACTTGACAACCTGCCAAAAGAAACCCAAATATTAGTATTAATCTGCAGAAAAATGTACAAGATATTTTGCATTCCTGGCTACAAATTCAAGAAATAGTACCTTGTAGTCTATATACAAATCTAAAAATAAGTATTTTTATTAAGTAAATTTGCTTCTACTGCATAAAATCATCACAAGTGTGTGTCACTGAGTTGAATCTTAATCCTAAAAGAGTCACTACCAAAATTCTCCCAGACTTCCTCCTTCATAAGGATGCACAATTTCAACTTCACACTGATGTTACTAAGTGTATGAAACAGGCTGTCATATAAAAAAAAAAAATCCAACTGTGTCTATCTTGGAATTGCTTTAGTTTCCAAAACCACACAATGATTTCCATCTTTGATGTAAGCTAAAACTGTGAGAATTTGTATTTTATTTGAATGTTTGACGTAGTAGGTGCCAATACGAGTTTTATTTAAAAAGCAAAATAACCACGTACATACTGGGATTTTCTTTGATCACTTTTAGGAAGTATAAAAGGTCTAAAAGCTTTTTTGTTTTTAAAATAAACAAAAAAATAAAAATCAAGCCATCAAAACGTCTTGCTTCAGGGGGGTTAAAATTAGCCACTAAAATATTTCTTACATACTTGCTATGCAAGCATAAAAGCAGCAAGTAATTCACTGAACGTCTTCCACAGGACTCTAAGCTGTTTGAATTCAACTTACTGTAAATTTTATATCATTGGTATGAGAAGCAAGTAAGGCCAGGAAAGGATCCTTATCTGTAAAACGACGTGATTCTAGACGAATTACTTTTCAATGCAGGGCTACAACCAGTACACAGATGGAAGAGGTTAATATTTAATCTACTCAGGTTGCTGAGTTTTGCACTGTACCAAAAACACTGAAGAAAACTTTTGTGAATCACTTGGAGGAAAGAAGAAAAGTCACATAACTAGACCTGTAATTTCAAGTCATTTTTACGTTGCAGTTAGGAAGCATATACATATTTTTTCAAGTTACGCACTTTCTCTCTTAGCACCAAGGTGCTGTATCATCTACAGCTCCACTGGAAAAATTATTTATTAACTGGTAGAAATTAGATTAGAAAAAGTAGAATTAATTTAGCCAGAGCAAAGAATGTCAAGATCTAATTCACATCTTAAAAAGAACATGAAAGTACCTACAAGATGTTTGCCCTGTGGCTAACTTTGATTCACTTAAGTTTTCAGACACAGGTTTGTATGTTGATGTTTGAGCAGTAGCTGAAGAGAAGTAGTAAAAGCCTGACCCAGAACTCTGCCACTGGGATTGCTTAGGAAAGGAAACTCGAGAAACTCACGGTGCTTGTAGTATAGGTTTTCTAAGGATGTAGTTGGCTGGCCAATAGTTTTATATTACTTTTTTTCCCCCCTTAAACCTTCATAACCATCAATTATGAAGGTATTTCATCCTCCTTTCCTCATAGATTAGTTACAGTAAAGTGAAAATACAGCCTTGTGCTCATAAACTGAAAATTTTAACCAAGTATGTCATAACTATCATTCATAAGGTTAAAGACCTAAATTCAAGGTATTTCTATTGACATCATTTGTCAGAAATTAGCAAGAAATTCCTATGCAATTGTCTAATTCATGTAATATATTATTAGGAACTTGAAACTGAAGTCAAATGGACTGAAATAGGGTATGATAAGGGAGAACTAATGTAATTCAGAAAAATGTAATTAGGATATCCCACACTATCCTTCTAATATGCTATAATAACTCTAAATGTTTTTCAAATGGAGCATAAATCTAATTTAAGCTTGGAACTGAGACAAAGCTGGGACAAGAGACAAAGCTGGGACAAATAATATGAAATTTTCTTGTTGTAAAAAGAAGCTATTATCTATTTACTTCTTTGCAGCTACAAAATGTTTACAAAATAAAATAGATCTTGGGTAGCAAGGTATGGACCAAGTATTTTTAATAACTACGTTGCAATGTACATCTCTAATAACAGCCAAACAAGTATTTTGCATTCTACCACCAAAAATAAAAAAAAAAAAAAAAAAAAAAGAGTACAAAATTTCAAAGAGAACAGAAACTCTTTAAGTGGTGTTGCTACAAAACCATATTTCCAGAAAAGGCAGAGCAACACAAAGAAACAATTTGGTATGCTACATAACAGAAGTTCAAAACCTCCTTAAAGCTATCCACTTCAACAGGACTAAATTTGGTATGGAAGATGTTGGGGAAACTTGATTCCAGTCCCCACCATTATTGCTATTACAATAATAGAATAACTTAAGCTTGTTGCTGTCATCAACATATAGAGGGAATCCTTTGTTGTTGTTGCCTTTATTTTGAACAAGAAAACTATCCCAAAGCTGACCAAAAAGTGAATGCAAACTCATTCCAAAATTCCAATAAGGAAATGACAATAGTCACACAAAGTGGCAAGAGCTCATCTGGGGTAAGCATGTACATTTCTTGTCACTCATACTCTGGAAAAATAAAGTAGAAATTGAACTGATGCAGGCTACTGTGTTGGCCAGGAGTAAAACATAACAAAAGAAGAAAACAAGGAGTAAAATAGCTTTGTTAAGTGGCCTTCCCCAAAACAATGTTACAACTGCATTCAGATGTGAACGTACCTAGAACCAACGAAGGGCCCACAACTTGACCTTTCTAGAGGAAGCAGAACTACACTCTTCTCTCCTGGAGGCCCAAAGAGCAAGGATGAAGCTGGAGTCTGTTCTTGTGACTCTTGCTTCTAATGGTGTCAGCACGCACATACTACTATATTCAGTTCAATTGTGAAATCATTGTTTCTACCCCCCATCAGCAATCTAAAGCTCAGAGAGCTACTGATTTCAGGTCTACAAATACAGCAAGGGGACCAACATTAGAGAAAGAACCACCAAATTAATTAACTATGTTGTTATGATGCAAGCTAGAACATGAATTCTCAGGGGGCATGATTCCCATCAATGCTATAGGACCAGGTTTAGTGGCCTAGTAAATTCCTTCAAGTTCTGTGCTCTAAAAGGAACCTGGCCTAAAAGTTAGCAGGAAAAAGAAGCTTCTTCTTCTGTAAGTGAGCTGATGGACAAGAGAATAATTCTGTACTGAGCGCCACATTTTGCCAGTGATCAGAGGGTAGAGGAAAAAAAAGAAAAAAAAAAAAAAAAGCACTGTCCCCATGAAGAATAGGTTGTCTTTGCTGCCAAAATTCTGAGCCACAACAACATCGAAAGAGTACCAAAAAGCATGACTGTCAGCTGAATGGGTGCAGAACAACAACAGATAAAGCATTTTTATGTAGCAGCTACCAGTTTTGTCTGGCTTTATTTAAAATGTAGGGTTTATGTCAACTTTTATGCTAAACTCTATTATGCATTTCATTCCTATTTCACTCAGTTGCATGAATACTATATTTTCTCCAACAGAATGGTTGTAACAATACAACACTAATTCAGAAAATATGAATATTAGCATAAATGCCTAAAGCAATTCCCACATTTAAAAATAAAACAATAAAATAAATCAGCTGCATAGTCTGGGCCTACAGGCTACAGACAAGTGACGCCATTTAAACACAGAACAACAAAAGTTTGATAAATCTAATCTCTACAAGATCTAAAGCCTCAAACAATACACAACTCCTTTTTAGTTTGGATTCTGGACCTCTACTTTAAACTTTTTTTTTTTTTTTTTTTTTTTTTTTTTTTTTAATAAATAAATCAAAAGGAAGCTAGAGATATTATCTGCAGCCTGAAGTCCAGGACAAACTTTCTAATTGTTGAGTGGTCCTCATTGTTAAGCAGTAAACAAACTACATGCCAAATTTATTCCTGATTGTTTAACACAACCAAAAACAGTGAAAGAGATATTTAGTGAAAGGTAATACAAGACACATGTTTGATGAGAACCCCGAAGTGAAAATATGAAGATTCCCTTTCCTCAGAATAATATTTAGTTACTGCATGGAATTTTGCAGGGATTCTTGCTCTCTGGTTCTGATTTTGACCGAGTATTAAGCAAAATTATCCCAAGGCTCTCACTGGTTAAGAAAAACTACATTACTAAGAGTCACATGCAGGAAACTCCACATATAAAGGCCCATAGCTTGTAACTGTTGTAGAGAGGATGCAGAAACCCCAAAGTTCCAAACAAGATGTTAAGAAACAGAATCAGGATGGTAATGCAGTCACCTTTTCACTAGGTATTGTGACAACAGATCTTTTCTGAGGATTCAAGTGTATTCCAAATGTAAAATTAGCAACCATAGAATTGGACCCACCATCTTTCATGTGTATATTCTTGTCTTCTTACAGATACATCAGAGTAATACTATGTTCTTACGAGTGAGAGTTTCTGTGTGCGTATCGGACTTGTGTGCCCAGGTTTTTGGTTTTTTAAAAGGTAAATCCAGAAGTGACTTCTGACTAGTAATGGCTATTGTGAGGGTGGAAACAGGAACTTCTTCAAGAAGTTAGATTATTTTGGTACAATAGGAGATCAAACAAATACTTACAAAAAAGAAAACCAAAGCCCCAAAAGCAACACCCAGTCCTGGCTGTCTAACAGCACATCCATGCTGATTGCACTTAATGATTTAACTGAACTCAACTTTTACCACAGAGCATCGATCATAAATTGTAATTTCGAGCACCTCCCTGTCAACCCTAATCAAACCTGGAATCCCCTCTGCAACCTAACTGGTTATTTTGCCCCACTGAAGATTCTCATAATCTGTAAGGAGATACCTAAGGTTTCAAAATTTTCTTTGTCATATACTGCGAGATGCAAGTCATTGACATGTTATGCAAATTAGTGCAGCCAAGCAGCTGTGTCTGCCAGTTTGTTGATGCTGTAACTTTGTGCTTGAGGGAAAAGATTAAACATAATATTTACTTATCCATTTTATCTACTACCCTACTGCACTTTCATAAATAAACCTTTTAACAATATGGATGAGAAACAGTTCATACCCTTCTATGCTGTTTTTTCACTATAGTAGTATTGTATGAAATGAATA